CCGCGCAATTGCGTTCTCAGGCTTTATCGATGACTTTCTGATCGTGATGGCGGCTGCTTCCCGACTCTTTACCTGGCTTATTGCGGCTTTATGCATGTAAATATACATCTAATACAATATGAATATATATATATATAGATATATACTTATATATATATATATATATATGTGTGTGTGTGTTAATTTTATATATAAGCTATGACGCTATGACCAAAGCAAACGTGCCACTCATCGCAATGGCCGTGTTCGGTCTCAGCATCTTCCAGGCTTGGCCGACCTGTTCTTGCCTTCCGGCTTTTCCGGAGTTCTTCTTGCCTCTGCCGGCTATGACCACGTCCGTCCTCTGCTTCTTCTCCGTAACCTTCTGACCAACGGAACACCACATAGGCACTCGACGTCGGACTCCAAAAACATCTTCAGGGACTTGCCAGCAAACATGATATGAACTTTTCGAAAGACTTGGGAATTATTGTATAGTTCACATACATCCTGAGCCGGACGCCGCTGAGCCCTAAATCGATTCCCCCTGATTTGAAGCTAGCTTTTCTTACAGTTGTTGGAGACTCCGGCAGCGCATCCAAGACCCCAACCGAAGAGCCCAAGTAAATGAACCGTTCGTCCCGAACCCAACTTCGCAAACCCGGGATCCTGAACCTCAAATCTTTCAGCTGTGATCGGTAAACCCGTAAATCCAGATCACGGAAGAGAAACCCCGGCGGTTCTATCTGGACGCCTAACACAACGCTAAGTAATCCTGAAGGCCCGAGACCTCAATAAGCCCTGAACCCTGTGCATAACCAATACACCCTGAAATCATCAACCCCGAACCGCCAAGCCCCAACGACACCTCCGCCCCCCGCCCCCCGCCCCCCCCACTCACACAGAAAGCATTGTAAGGAACCTTACAAATCTAGATTGTTTGGGGTTCCATGAAAACGTCGAACCCCAAGCCCTAAAACCCCAAAAGACCCTAAACCCTCAAACCCAAACCTTAAACTAAGAACCTTAAGCCCTAAACCTGAGAATCCCCTAAGCCGCAACTCCTGCAAACGTTGCCTCGGTCGCTGTTTCCAAGCCAGTCTTGGCCGGCGGCAAGCTCTGGCATCGTTTGGGACTGCTCTCATCTGCGTAGTCTTGCTCCTCGGTATGGTAGGGTTGAGGTCTCTGAAAAAGCTTCAGCGCGAAGGATACTGCCATGGGGCTTGGGGTTTGGGGTTTCAGGGTTTCTGGTTCTAGGCCCCCTCATGCGCCCCCCTGCAGGCTTTGCGGTGATAGACGGGCCTGAAGAATTTGCTCAGACCAGGGTTTTGCAAGTGTGCTAAAGGGAACTCCAGAAAGTTGGAATATGGTTTCAGGGTAGGATACCCTATAATTTACCATAAAGGGTTTAGGATAATCATATTCCAACTTTCTGGCTTTTACTGTATAGTGAACTGTTGACAACTGTAACTGCGCAGACCTCTACCTAGAGGCTCCATAGTAGTTCCTTTTTGGGGTTCGTATTTAGAATCCTAAAAGGTAATCCCAAAAAGGAACTACTTTGGAGCCTTTGGGTAACTCTATACTGCAGGGCTTTAGGGATTAGCGGCTTGAGGCTCTTTGGGGGAGGTTAGTGTTTAGGCGAAGGTTCGGGACATGTTGGTTCTAGGGCCGTTGTGTGCGTGCTTTGGTGGCTTATGGGCGTCTGCCTCCAGGATTCCGAGTCCTAGGCTTCAAGACAAGGCTCTTCGAAGAACATCCTTCAAGCCCTAAAGCCTCATATGGGGGCCTTAATCATTAGAATAGGGTTTGGGTCTATATTATACTATACTACTATACTACTATAATTACTATACTACTATACTACTATGATTACTATACTACTATAACTACTATACTACTATACTACTATAACTACTATACTACTATACTACTATACTACTATGATTACTATACTACTATAATTACTATACTACTATACTACTATAATTATAGTAAGGAGCCCTTAGACCTTAAAATCCCATACCTAGACTCCGAAGCCGACGCCTTGAAGTCAACTCGTTCGAGTCTCACAGCTCTAAACATCTCTGGTGAACTTCCATCTAGTGGTTCTAATGACGGAAGCTGATGAAAAGACCTGGGATTCGTACTAAGTTTCGCGATATATGTCATCCGATGGTGGGATTTAGATGTACGAAGGTCGCCCATAGGCTTTGCAGGCCTCAAAGGCAAATCCCAAATGCTCAACCCTAAAGACCAAATATCACAAACCCCTAAAACTTCGATTGCGCCGCCTTTCCTAAACATCATTCATCGGGATCCTTAGGGGGGTAGGGAGGGGGAAGGGGGGGTGGAGTACTATACTTCCTCAAAATGAGCCTTTATTAGGCATCAAGGCGCCCTACCTCCCCCTCCCCTACCCCCCTAAGGGTCCCTGCGAATCATACACCAGTCTATCCTGCCCGCAAGACGAGAGACTTGACAACTTCTGTTGCAGGCTCTGGGGTTACTGTAGGAGACTTGATGGTTAGTGGGGGTGTGTTGCAGCATATATATGTATGTGTGTATATATATATATATATATTGTTGTGTATTTCTGCATATATGCATATATGCACGCGGGCATGCACTATGCATGCATGTATGTATGTTTGTATGTATGTATGTATGCATGTATGTATGTATGTATGCATGTATGTATGTATGTATGAACATATATATATATATAGATTGAGGGACCCTAGGGAATATTATGATTCATTATTCAAGCTTCTATACTAGATCCGGGCAAACTCCTCCAGGCCCCTGCTCCTCGTCATTCTTTCGTTTAGGCTATACCACACTGGGACTAAGAATGGCCTCGTTTGGGGTTTCGCCGATTCTCGCAAGTCTATGTCGGAATCTTCCTCGAACTCCGGCTTCCTTCCTCTTGAATCCTGGCCTTGCCTTGGCCCTGAATGAGGAGAATCCTCAGATGGGTTTAACCCTAGTCGATGCAGCAAAACCCTCCATTATGGAGCTAATGATTTTGGGATTGCGAGACAAGGAAGCGAAAGCTTTACAGCAGTTTAGAGGTTTGCGGTGCTTGCCAGGTTGGCTGGTTGCTATTGTAAGGTCCACTTCTTTGCTTGCAAGTCTCTTCGTCGATGAAAGTTGACCGGTACACGAAGCGCACCTTGCTGAAGACATGACCATGCAAGTACAGGGTTTGGGGTCTGAGGGAAGAAATGGCCCAAACACTCTCAGATAATCAAACCTGCAACCGGCCTTCAAGATGCAGGTAGCCTGAACCACCCGCCTTTGGGTTCTCCGATGTTGGGGCTTTGGAGCCTAATCGCAGCCCCAAATCTTTCACGGTTTGGGGTTGCAAAGTTTGGGTGCTAAGATGTTATTGGGTAGGTTGCAGGATAATTTGAAGCCCAGCAAATTGAAAACAAACCCCAACTTAGACAACCACCCAGTAGGTAGATGGACTTGCAAAAGCAGTCTCACAGCTTGGGTCGTTGTTTCACGAATCTTCCCCGTCTACCAAAAGCTAAATGAGGTCCTTAAGCAAGTTCCAATGTATTATCAAAACAGACCCATGCCTGTTCGCTTTGCTCCAAAACGACTAAATAGATGTATTGCCCACAGCCCTCGTTAGAAGCATCTGTCACTGTAAGAACGCGTTTAATTAAAGCACACATATGTATATATATATATATATATATATATATTCATTCATACATACATACATACATACATAGTTACATACATGCATACATACATACCTACCTGCATGTAGACAGACAGACAGACAGACAGACAGAGAGACAGACACACACACACACATACACACACACACACAACATACACTCACACACGCGCACAAACACCTCAGAGCAGCCGTCAACTCTCTGCTTAATATCAACTTGTACAATATGGAATTATTTTGGAAATTGAACCCAGCCCGGAACCACCCGCCTGGCTGCCGACCGATGGGAAAGCCATGAGCACGCGCTTGCAAAAAGTTCAAAATCGTAGGGTCAGGCAATGGAAAATATTGAGCCTGCACCTGCGGGAAGTCGCCGTGAGGCCGGCTTCGATTCTAAGGACCTTTAGAATGCCCTAAACTATAAACCCCAAACTCTAGTAACTTTTCAGGAACCCACATGCCACACGAACAAGCGTCAAGGTTGAAAGCAGTAGATTCAGGGATATCGATTCGCTTTGGTACCAGGTATCGGCTCTACACGCCTAGTACATTTAGCGTTGGTAGCGGCTTTGGTATTAGGAATCGACTCCCCGCGAAACTGAACTGTGCTCCTGGAGTAGCAATCGGGGCACTGATGTCGCTAGTCTAATATAGGGGCCTTAATTAGAATAGGGTTTGGTGATTGGTGCCCATTGTACTATGATTATAATTAACAATAAACCCCCAAGGTAGTATAGGTAACTATCAAGGCCCCTACAGTAGTCGCTCACATGATCGCGATCGAAGCTGCTCTTGACGAACCCGAGTCGACCAGAAAGCCTCAAAAAGGCCTTTGATGGTTCCTTCGGTGCTTTTGTTACTGTACTCGGTTAACTGCAGTGTGCGCTCTAGGAGCTTTGAGATCGCAGCTTCGGGCGCACTCTGAATTCTGAGGGACTTGAGACCTCCAAGACCTGCCAACGAGACTCTACCCAAGCCACGGTTTAGGGTTTAGGGCTTAGACGGTTTAGGGTTTAGGGTTAAGGATTCTCGAGCTTGGGGTAGCGCACGATGCCACACCATGAACGACTCAAGGAGACCACCGCATCCCTTCAAAGCGGCCTTAGCAGTCTCCAGATCACGAGGCCCCAATGCGGCCCCCTAAACCCTAAACCCTAGGCACTAAACTACCCTAAACCCTAAACCCTAGGCCCTAAACTACCCTAAACCCTAAACCCTAAACCCTAAACTACCCTAAACCCTAAACCCTAAACTACCCTAAACCCTAAACCCTAAACTACCCTAAACCCTAAACCCTAAACCCTAAACCCCTAAACCCTAGGCCCACCTTGGAGCTGTGGAGCCGCAGCACCAAGCATTCCTCCAATAGCCTGAGGATTCAGACTTGGCTTCCGGTTCCACTGGCGATTCAAAAAGGGTTTAACCTCGGTTTAGGGTTTAGGGTTTAGGGTTTAGGGTTTAAGGGTTTAGGGTTTAGGGTTTAAGGGTTTGAGTTCCAGCTTAAAAACGGTAGATGATACATGGGTGGTTGTCAAAATAAGGGTCCCTCTACTCTAAATATTAGGTGCCGTACTACAATAAGGACCCCAAAAAGGGATCCTAATTTTACTACCGGGTGCAGGACTTCCTTTGAAACCGACAGGCCCCAGACTCCAAGTTCCGCAACTCGAAACCTTCGGGCTTTGGGTCTGAGGCCCTTTGAGCTCAGGGATTTGGGGAGCTTTCCAAAATAGGGGACCCTAATATAGTACCCCAAATAATAGGATCCCTATTATAAGGACCCCAAAACACTGTACCCCCTAAACCCTAAACCCTGAAGCCCTAAACCCCTAATTTTCTCAAACTCCCATTTGGGGACCCACGTCTGGCCTAAACCCTAAGAGCTCAGGGATTTGGGGACTGACGGCCTTCAACTTATACAGTAGAAGCCAGAAAGTTGGAATATCATTATCGTAACCCCTTTAAGGTAAATTACAGGGGATCCTACCATTATTCCATGTATTCCTACTTTCTGGAGTTCCCTTTATGGAGCCCAGGCACCTTCAGGCATCCTTAGGCCCAAAGGAACTGACCCCAAACCCTGAGCCCGAAACCTGAACCGAAGCCCAAACCCGAAACTCATATAGACCAGAACCAAACCCCAAACCGCAAGCCCAAAAACCCACGCCATGCAGCCCAAAAATCTTTTGAATATTGGCGACTCAATATTTAGAACCAATAATTGTAGAAGGGATCCTGACGTTAGTGTTGGTAATTATGCAGGCGGCTACACTTGTCGGCTTAAGGGCGGGCAGTTTTGGGGCTCTGATTTCAGAAGTTAGGGGTCGGGGGCTTTAATATATGGTTTTAGGCTCCAACACTCCGCAAACTTGAAGCTCACAAGCCAGGTGCCGTGCATCAGCTCCCCACCATCCTCAGCGAGGCCTGGGAATAACGCTGAAGGCCTGCCGGCTGGGGGCACTTTGCCCAAAGGGTCCATGTAATAGTATCGTATATACTTTTGGCGCCCAAATTCCTACTAAGTACCTACTATAATGGCACTTGGGGTAAGGCAAAGATGATGCACAACGAAATCCTGCACCTGCCGCACCCAACCACCTCAAAGAGAGCATAATCCCAAAACCCAACTCTGAATTGATCCAGCCATTGAAAATGGGAGTTTCCGAAAATAGGGGACCCTCTCTACCACCCTAAATAGTAGGATCCTTATTATAAGGACCCCAAAATAATGTACACCTCATTTTCGGAAACTCCCAGGCAGCCTGAAGCAGAATCCGAAACTCTTCGACCCCCAGACCCAGACCCAGACCCAGAGCCAGAGCCAGAGCCACAGCCACCCACCCACCCACACACCCACACACAGACACAGACGCAAACACACACACACACACACACACACAGCCCCACGGCCGCAGCCACAGCCACACGCCACACGCCACGCGCCACGCGCCACACGCCACACGCCACACGCCGCACGCACACGCACACGCCACACCCACACGCACACGCACACGTGCGACTGTGACTGTGACTGTGACTCACACTGAAACTGGAAGCCCAAGACCCTGAAACGACGTAGCCGAGACCGCCAAGCACTCAAGCTCGAGCCTCCAAACCCTACGCCTACAACTATCAGGAACCAGCCCTTTATAAAGCCGAAGACAATGCAGCCCACGACCAAACGACCCAATCCCCAAAACTCCACCACAAAAGCAAAACAAAATCCATCACACAACTGAGCCCCGAATAAACAAAACCAGCCCTTCACGCCACCGCCTTCGCCCAACCGCTCGCCTTTCCCAGAGACGAAGCCTCACCAACAATCAAGCTTGTTTACGTCAGGTTTCTCGTGCCGAAGGTGTAACCATGGGAGCAACCCCATCGACACACCTTGCCGCAGCTCACCGCGAGCCTACTTCGCATCACTCACCCGCAAGCCTACTTAAGCAATAAAGGCCCGGAGCTTAAGCCAACAGGCTCGAGGATCTAAAATCGTAGAAGTCAAGCTCTAACTTCTGCCATCGCAGAAGCTGAAGCCAACACATCTCGACCCGAAGTGCCGTCCACAGTTCTCTAATACATCTTATGTAGCAACGGATCCTAATTTAGACAACCCCTCCCCCCCTCGCCGCACAGAAGGCCCCGCCCCCCCGAAAAGCTCAAAAGCACCCAGCGCCCTAAGGCCACACTCAGCGCTGCTCTGGCCACGCGAGACTTCGCCTGCCTGCATGGAGGGTTTAGAGTTTAGGGTTCACCGAGCTGGCTACTATAACCCTAAACCCCTAAGCCCTAAACCAAATGAGATTCTGCAAACAGGGAGCTTCGAAACTGGACGGTTGGATGTTTCAGGACCGACTTGGTTCTTGCGGCCTCTCGGGTGAATTCACCCCGAGACTGATGCAGCACACTGAGGCGTTGCATGGCGTTTTTTGAGGTTTCTCGGCTTCGATTTTGAGGTATCGCAAAAAAAACTCTTGCTCTCTCCCTCTGTGCCGCACCATTGTTACCCTGATACGGCAAAGACAAGCTCTTTACAAGCATAGCCCCATCCTGCTCCTTCAACCCCCTATGCTTCTGCACTCTAACCCCCCAAACCCTATCAAACCTTAAACCCCTGAATGCCTTCAGACCCGAATAGCACGAGGGCTTGAATACTGTTCCCCCAGAAGCTCCTCTCTATGAAGTTCCAATGACCACAAGATACCCCAAACCAGATTACTATGAACTTTTACTACCAAAAAACACATACTCATAATCCAAAGGCCCGAATTATGTCAAACCCTTATCATGACCCTTCGAGACGCCACACAGAAACCTCGAAGAACCCTGCTAGAAGCCTTAATTATAGAACTACAAGACCCGTGTAGAAGCTGTCTAGAGTCTAGAATCCTTATCATAACCTGTGTAGATCCCAGAAAAGGCCTTGCCAGCCCTTGCACCCCTCTGACGGGCACTACAGTTGCGACGTTACGGGGCCAGGCACTCATCGGAAATCGTCAAATCCTTTTCAAGTTTTGTTGATGTCAAAGTGATTTCAAAGTGGATTGAGAAAGTGAGTGCAGAAACCCTGGTCCCAGAAAACTGATTTCAAGCGTCCTTAAAAGAGTTTAGAAGTAGTTGGAAAGTGGTGAAAAGTGATCCTTGGCAGAAAAATCCAAATCAGTGTGATCGGAAGGGTGGGTGCACGCAAACCCGCGGAGATCCAATATGCAACTCCCTAATCACTCTCTCATCACCATTTTACAAGCCTTAATATTACTTTGAAGTCGCTTCTGGAGGTTCCAAATCACTGCGAAGCAACTTTTTGTGGCACGAGATCATTTGGAAATCGCATTTTCGGAACCCACAAGACTTGGAAATTGCTTTTTCAGGCCCTAAGCCAGTTTGAGATCACTTTCCGGGTCCTCGATCGCAAAAACAACTGGAAAACTGATGTTGGGTGATTTGGGACCCCAAACAACTAGGATATTCAGTAACCTAAGAATAAAAAGGCCTCTTTTTTTGGTAAATGGTAACTTTATCAGGAACCTAGGACTACAAAAAGGGAATAAGGGTACTACTGGGCATCCTAGACAATGATTTGAAAGTGATCTGGGTCCCGCAAAGGCGATTTCCAAGTGACCTGGGGCCTGAAAAGGCGATTTCCAAGTGATCCTGGGCCGCCAAAGTGATTTCAAGCTAGTTTGACCTAAACCCTAAACCCTAATTGATGCTTGCAGCAGTGGTTTCAAAGTGATTGGGGTGACACACACAAAGGTTTGCACCCTCTCAAGGGTTCACCAGAGTCACTGTAGTCAATAGAATCATAGCGGTGATTGTCGAAATTATGGCCCCTTTTTGGGTCCCTGATATAATACGGCACCTACAATTTAGGGTACCCAAGAAGGGGCCTTTATATCACTTTGAAATCGTTTTGGGGGGTTCCAAGATCACGTGGAAATCGCTTGACGAGCCCCGAGTCACTTGGAAATCTCTTTTTCAGCACCCAGATCACTTTGAAGTCGCTCTTTTCGGGCCGCAAATCACCTTTCAAATCACTTCTGCCAGTAGCCCGGAGCACTTCAAAATCACTTTTTCGAGTATCCAAATCACGTTTCCCAATTTCTATTATCTGTGCAGGAAACTCCAAATCACTCTTTCAAATCACTTTAACAACACTTACAACGAAAAGACGATATCTGCACTGCTGCACACCATCCCGACAGTAAACTGGCCGTAACATCGCAACGCTATAGGTACCATAGGGTTCTATGATCGGGTCCCAGCCACTTAAAGGCTACTGTTTCAAGGGAGTCCTGGGCTCCCAGACGAAGCGAGCGACGGTACGGGGCGGACGCTCCGAGACACGCGCGGACGGCCTCGAGTATCCTCGGTCACACGCAAGTTAGGTTTAGGTTGGGTACTGCCCCCATACAGTAACAGTCTATAATAGGCCTATACTAAGGTCCGAATATGTCTATCTTATGAATATTATCCAACTGTTACTGAGTGGGGGCAGTATCCAAGGTTTAGGTTAGGGTTTAGAGCCGTTTCGGGTGGGGTCGTACCTAAGCATGACGCAGGCTGAGCATGATAACAAGAATTACGGTAAGATCGAGGATAGGCATGGAATGGCACAAGTAAGAATCATCGTGATCGTAGATGTCATGTATCATGACCGTCAAAACACAAGAAAGGTAAAATCGCGCAGACCTGAATAGTATTGAATAGAACAGAATATAGTGAGTATTAAGTTGTAGAAAGCTGTTACAGCAGCAAGACTGACGATAGTAACAACGAGTTAACACTATCCAACAGGCCACAAGTAATTCTGGCAAGAACCAACTGCATTTCCAAATAGAAGTACTACGAGTAATCAGAATGCATTCACAACAAGGCAGCGACATGTAAAGCATATAGAGTAGTTAATAAATACAACAATCACAGTTCTCGTAGCTGTAAACCGTCTAGGCCCTGAAGGGTACTACTCTCCAAAAATTAGGGCCGAGGGCGTCACTATCACTTCCAGCGTTGAGGCCGTGGGTTCCCATGGTCCACTGGGTTTAAGGTGTAGGGTGACATATCATGTCCAAAGACTGCAGACTGATTCTAGGAACGGGGTTTCGGTGTATGTCTCTAATTCCAATGAAGAACCTTGAGAAATAGCACGCAGCACGAGTAATGACTGAGGGTTCCAAATAGTTCACAAGCATCTGGTCAGCTGCACATTGGCAGAAGATGGCCCTAAACCGTAAACTCTAAAACCCTTGCCTTCTTTGAGCTTACTTGCTGCACAAACTTCTTCGTCAGGGCTGGTTGGATCTAGAGGAGCCTTAATAGTTGGAGTAGGACTTCAGTTAAGGCTATATAAGGGAGCGCTATGAATAAGTATTCCGACTCCTTTTTCAACAGTTAAGATTTGGGTTGTGGGGTCTGAGGTTTATGGGCTAGTAGTGCTTCACCAACTGGCTGGGTTGCTGGGGCCTTAGTGGTGAGGGTCTGTAGACTTGGTGGAAAACTCAGGCTGCGTCGGACCTGACCCAAGACCTCAACTCAAGCTTCGAAAATGGGGGCCTGGAAAAATCGGAATACTTATGCGGTATAAGGGAATAAGCGTTTCTTAGGTCCTGCACAGGTTCTTCTGACTGCTTAGTTTATTAGAAGGCTCCTCGGTTGAAACAAAACCCTTTGCAGCCCGTCACGCACTCTATCCTCCTATGGATGTTAATCCTGAGCGAAATTCCCAAGCCATACACCCTAAATCCTCATGAACACGTATAACAAGTCCCCACGCCTAAGTCCCAAGAACCTAGAGAGTACATGGAAGTCCGAAAGTAACTTAAAAACCCTTGGTGACCCCTTCTGCCAAGGCTGCGGCCGTACTTCCTCAGCAGCTCATCAAGCGGTGCTCCCCTCAGCTGCGTTGCCTGGGCTTCTAAGGGTTGTCGGAGGTGAACAACTAAGGACTAGGTTTGGGGATTCATGGTTGGGTTTGGGGCTGGTAACTTTAGTTTCGAGGTCCGCGGATCGGGTTTCTGGTTTTGAGCTTGCGATCTTCAGACATGCTTTGGCATTGAATATGCCTGGTACCACATACGAGCCACCAATTCACACTTCACGTCCGCCACCGTCCTCGCACTGCCTCCCTCCCTTCTTGCCTCTCCCTCCCAAAACAGACAGAAGCACTCGATCGAACACTTGTATGGCGTGCAGGAATCAGTGTCGCTTCGTTCTGCCAGCATCCTTCTGTACGAATACCAAGATTTACATAAAGACCTTACTTAGCCTCTTCACTTAGACATGCACGCACGTGTGCAAATAAATGTTCGCGCAGCACAGGTGCAAGCAACGACAGTCAAGCACTGCGTCCTCAAGGCTGGTAACTAAAGCCTATCTTCGCGTCTACGTCGTTCAGGCACATTCATTGCGTTTTGTGTGCTACCGGTGGCCTGTACACAGTCAGTCCGGGATTGGGGCGAGATGTCCACTGAGCACCAAACCCTGATGGGAGTTGGACCTTGTTCAGTACAATCACAGATGCAACCCTAAATGGCTGGTGGATAGCCACACGCCCGGACCGGCCAAGCAACCAGCGGAGAATAATTTAAGCCGACGATTTCGCCGGACAGCTCCGCGAAACAAATGTGTTCAAGGGTCAGATTGCCGGGGCTGCTGTACACTTCGATGCCCCCGAAAGGATTCTGCACTCTGTCTCCTGCGAGACTTGCCCCAATCACCAGGATCATCTTGTACATGAAGGCCAAAACGACTCAGAGCTTACAAACAATTCAGCCGTCTGCCTTTTTTGTATTGCATGATGTCTACTGGAGACAACCTCAACCTGGATAAATGCAGCAGTTGTGAATCACCACATGGTCGGGGCTAGACTCGACTCACCCCATGTGGGTGACGACATGCTAAGACGAGTGAAGCGCACTATACCTATAGTCTCCATTGTAGTTCCTTTTTTTGTCTAACCAACTATATCTTAAGGATCCTATAAGGTAACCCCAAAAAGGGACTACAATGGAGACTATAGGTAGTCTTTCAACGAGACTTTCCACTGCTGGCTTTTCGTCGCTTCGCAAACTCAATCCAGCGCTGGATGACAGGGTGCGTTAACAACTTTTGGAGGCTGTTGTACTCAATGGCTAACACTTCGTTGCTTGCGATGCTGTGCACCGTGTTGTGGCACTGCCGGCAAATCATGAGGCCATAGGAGTTCAAGAAGGATCTGGTTGGCTCACCTTCAACACCATTGGGCAATCGCTTGCCAAGATAGGTCGGATGCTTGTCCTTCGGGATCAAGTGGTGAAAAGTTAGCTTCAAGTCCCTTTCGCACATCTCGCACTCACCCTCGCCACCGATGCCATCGCCCTCGTCTGCCACGTCTGTCAGAGCCCGGATTTCCTCTTGGCTCGCCTCCTGAGGCTTCCCATACCTGCAGACTGCAGACCCAAACCCCAGACTAGTAGCTGAGTATAGGCTATGCGCGCACACCACTTCAGGGTTTAGGGAAGATGACATAACTGGCATAACCCGATTGGTATGCCACAGGCACTCGATGAAGATCAGCTTCAAACGTCCACTCGGTAGAATGTCCTCCACTACAGCCGGGTGCCACTCCTGATCTTCGGGGAGGAAAGCCCACACAGGATCGCCAACTTCGGACACCTTCTGCCTTACTCGCAGAAGCCCGTGCTTCACGAGTTGAACAGCTCCCTTCTGAGCCAAAGCTTCCAAACTTTCATCTTCACTTAGATACGTAGCCATGCCCGCTTCCTCCAGAGAATTTCGAAGCAGCGTGCCCCAGGATTCCAATGCATCGGGAGAGGACTCCGCTGCATAGGCTAGAAAGGAGGCGCTCAGTACGTCAGCACGCTCAGATGCTTCTTGCATCCAGCTCCGTAGCTCGACGCAGCTCTTCAGCGCCTTGGAAATCTCCCTTCCGTCCTTAGAAGCCCAGTTACGTGCATGGGATTTTGAAAGGTTTCAGGAGCGGTAGCAAGCTTGAGACATAGCTGGGCGTCTTCAGCGGTCAGCTCGAGGATCGCGCCAGGAACCAAGGCGGCTTCTGTCGCCGCCTGGGCGGCGCGGCGCGCCGCGGCGCCCCGGGGACCCCGAGCTTTCTCGGCATCTTTGGGCACGGAAGCCGGCTGGGGCTCTGGCTTCGACTGCGACTCCTCTGGCTGATCCTGGGCCCATTTAGGAAGGGAAGCGTCAGAAAGGATCCACCTTATGGGATCCCTAATAGAAGACCCGTGTATAGACCCAAAGCCACAAAAAGCAAAGTCAAACAGGATGTCCCCTAGATTGACCAAGCATCCTTCACGGTGACACAAAATGACCCAAGTGACTGAGGGGCTGCCAGGTCACCTATGCTGAACTTGGGAATTACCCTTGTGCAAGTTGTAGTACGGTTTAGGGTTTATAAAGGGTTTAGGGTTTTGGCCGTTTCCCAGGGATGATAGAAACCAAAACGAAAGCTGTTTTCAAGCACGCCTAAGTCACGATAACCACCGGAAGCCACCTTCGAGGCTTCCGTTGCCTTTGCACCGAAGGAGAAGCGCTGGCAAAGAGTCCTGGCCTCGGCTTTAGAGGAAGTTTCAGAGGAACCCTTAGCTTAAAAGGAACCCTTAGGAAAACCTTGAATTTAAGGGAACCCTGAAAAGGACCCTTAGCAGCTTTGACAGCACAAAGTACCTCCTTTTCTTGGCAAGGAACTGACATGCGCAAAACAAGGACGCTACGGAACACCACCAGTATAAACCCTTGGGAACCCCTGCAGACCCCTAAAACTTAAATGCCCTTGGCACTGCTTTGGCTTGGGGCCAAGTAGCTTCCTCTTCCCCACCGAGCCCAGCATCTGCCAGGAATGGAGCCAAGACTTCTGGGACATCCTCACGAAACTAAAAGGGTGGCTGTAGGGTTTGGGGGTTTTTAGAAGGTTTAGAGGTAAAGCTTGTGGGACTTAAGCAGGATTGATGCGAACGGAAACCTCAACCCTCAACCCTAACTAACCCTAATCCCCAAACCCTAAACCCCAACTAACCCTCATCCCCAAATCCTACACCCTCCAGTCCTCCGCATCAGCCTCCTTCAGTGCTTGGGCGAGGAAGCTCCGGACGGTTTCGTCAAGGTCTGCTATGGGCTTTGCGGAGAGGAGGGCATCGAGATCCATGGCGGAGTTGTTTAGGGTTTAGGGTTCAGGGTTGAGAAGGGTTTAGGGTTAGAGCTGGGGGTTTAGAGTTTTCGATGCTGTGGTTTAGGGTTTTAAGCTTGTGGGTGTGGGGTTTAGGAAGGAACCGGTTAGTGTAGTACTGCTGCCGCTGCACGAAATCCTGCATTACCTTAGAACTCGGAACTGTGGGCAATGTGTTACATTACGAAGCTCTCTCTATGCATCAACAACATGGTCCGACATACCGTATACCTAAGGCAATATGATTATACATGAGAGTATGGAGTTTCAGAGTACATTATTCTACACTTGTAGTCAGGAGCGCTAAGGAATATTACTGGTGATTATTCGGGCTTCTAAGCTTCTATGCCGGAAGTCTTGCAAGGTTCGCTCTGAGCCTCAATCTCAAGCGAACATGGGCGAGTCCTCTCGGCAGAAACATGCCTCTGTTGATTCGCAAAGCCCCCGTCACACACACAAAGCTCCCGCATAGCCCAGCAACGCTGCTTAAACACGTCACGACATACCTTCCCTCAAATCTGTCCATGAGATTTTCTGGATCTAATCGTTCAGGATCGACAGTTTGTTACAGATTTAGGATGGAGAGTTTGGAGAACGAGGAGACAAACTGCCAGACAGGTGCCCGAAACCCTGAGGGCACGGGCTGGAATGGCCCGGAAATTCCGCAGGATCGGATCTGTCTGGAGAGGTTCGATGCGAACCTGGTTGCAAAGTCGAGGCTTCGGGGGCATCCACTTTACCGGCTAGGCTTTAGGGTTGAAAAGGTCATTTTCTGTGCTTAAAGTTTGTATATATATATATATATGCGTAAATGCGTGCATGTGTATATATATATATACACATATACATACATACATACATACATACATACATACATACATACATACATACATACATACATACATACATACACACACACATACATACATACATACATACATACATACATACATACATACATATATATATATATATATATATATATGTACACCTACGTACATACATACACACACACATACATATAGACGGGCATACATACAGACATATCTTCATAGATCATACAGACATACATGCACACATGCACACAAGCACACAAGCACACATGCATACATGAATACATGCTTACATGCATACATGCATACATGAATACATGCTTACATGCATGCATGCAAACGCATACAACAACATACAAACGTGCTGCAAGCTTGCCTGCTTGAACACTTGCACAGGAATCCGAAGCCTAGACTGCTTCCTAAACCCGAAACCATGTAATCTAAGGAGGCTGCAGAGCTAATTTTCTTTGGGTAAGGTTGGGGGGTATACTATATATATATATATATATATATATTGAAGGTTTGCGTTTCGGGTTTAGGGTTTCCGGTTTAGGGTTTGGGGGTTGAGGATTAGCCGTAGGCCATTCATGTGGCATGCTTCAAGTCAATGTTAAAACCCCGAATTCCAAGTCAAGTCCCCGCTGCCAAAGCCTTCAAACCTAAACCTTCCCAAAGGCTCCGACCCCTTTTAAGGCCTAAGTACCTCCGATATGGGTACATGGGGCCTTTGGGCTTATGTAGGGCTATAGAGTGTATCCTTAACTTGCAAATTTTCAAGCCCAAACCTTATAGAAGGCAGAAATTCAAAACCTCTACATCCTCAGCTCTACCCGCCTCAACCCCCAGTCGCTCACAATCCTCCTCGTCGGCCCAGACCCACATTCTGGGCGCAACGGTGGCACATGTCGAGGGAGGATTTACGGTGCTTCGGGTTTAGTGGAATTGCAGCGCAATGTCTGCTACTTTGTGGCTGACAATAATCCTGCCAACACTGCCAATATGCTTCTCAACAAGACATTATCGACAAAGCTAGAATGAGGGACCATGGGGGAACCGTGATCATGTGACCTAGGCAGCTTTAAGGCCCAACAAACTGGATGAACTCGAGCAGCGCAAGAAGCCCTGGGAACCCCCCGAAAAAGGCCCCAAAGCGTCAACTTACACCCTTTACTTACCTCGGACTAATTCAAAGAGTTGGCACCCCGGG